ATAACTTCTATGACCCAGTTTGGCTACCACACGATGTCGCGCGCACCACATCGTAGGAATCAGTGAACTAAAGTGCGTTGGGGGGCATCAGGTCAGCTCCTACAGACACTACCACGGCACCTGTTCTGTTCCTTTTCCCTTTGCGCTGTTCCCAAAAAGAGGTTACACTTTTGTAGATTCTATGTCATTCCGCGCTTACCTCCGTGGGATTCTATGTCATTGCACGCTTACCTCCGTGGGCCCTGGTCCATGACATAGCCATATAGATGAATGGGTCCGCACCTGCCCCAACATCCAGTTTCTCCGATCAAAAGTGCACAGGAACGGGTAGGGTAGTGATACTTGGGTGCCATCTCTACGCCCACGCTGCGGCACGGCCATCCACACGCCTAACTATCGCCGAACGCGCCTTTTGCCTACGCCCTCTGACTTCTGGTTGCTCTCTGCTGCTGAGTTTGTGTTTCGCTGTGGAATCTTGGTATTGACGCTGCTTCTCCATAAGACGCAGTTCTGTGCTCGCAATATTATTTCGGTCATTCGCAAACCTGTCATATTCATGGATTTATGGGAAGAAACCTTGGGAAGAGTTTTCCTGACTGAAGTTAGGTCTACCTCTACATTATATTGTGTGAAACCTTGCAATAACATTCCTCAGATTTTGATATTATTGAAATACAAACCTTGTTAGATTATTCAACGTGTGATCGGGTAGTGCTAGATAGCGCTTCATCTCAAGCATCGTCTGCAGAGCCAGATGGAGAGGAAGAAGTGCTCGCACCTTCTCTTCAAGTGAAGCATTCGGCTGCGGTTTCAAGTCAAGATCCGTATCATTTGTCATGAAGCCCGCCGTAACGTACGCTTGTACCATATCCCTGCATGAACGAACTCTTTTCTTAATGCTCGTGAAGATATCATTGAGATACTGGGAAAAGAAAATTATTATAAGAACAAAAATACATTAACAGATCCACCATGACACCACCATCCTAAATGCATTTTGCTGGGTTCCTCCATTATTTGAGACACCCTCACTGTTTCTGAACATTATTTCCCCGATTTTTTTTTCATTTATTGAATTGACAAAGCATACACCACCAGCATCATCCACATACCGCCGATGCACAAAGCTGTTTTTTTTATTATTTGGTGTTAGAATGCCACTCTCGAAGAAAGCCAGAGACATTTGGTCACAATGAGATGAATGTCGGTTTTGAGTTGATCAGCGGTGATTACTTCCCAAGAAAGTAAGCTAAAGAGTAGGATAAGTGGTAGTCCGTTGCCTGAAGGGTACAGGGCCAAAGCAGGACACCCATTCATCAGGCAGCCTTCAATGACTTTCATCGTTTACGACAATTCGAGGTTCACCACAAAAAAAAGAAAACAATCTCACTGTAGTTTCTTTTTCATGTTGCTAATGATCTGATCAAACTGTAAGCGATACGGTATAAGGTTATATATTGACTGCAATACTGAAAGATGGGAGTATCCAGTGAGCAGCTTCTACTGCGCTAAACCAACGGCTTAGAAGGTCCGCTGGATAGGTAAACGTAGGTGCAATGAGGGGTAAAGACGAAAATAACGATACCATATCATGGTTGGAGCTCGTGCAGACTCCACACACGTGGAGT